CCAAACGAGATAATAACAACTTTATGTACATTGACATGCAGCGGTTACGTGCCTCCAGAGTATATAGACCAAGGCCTAATCTCAAAAAAGTTTGATATATTTAGTTTGGGTGTTATAATTGCAAAGTTAATGGCCGGAACTGAAGTCTACTTCAAGATTGATGACATGGGACAAAAAGGATTTGTCAAGCATGTAAGACTTAAAAATTATTCATACCGACTTTGTACTATAAAGTTATGACCTCATGCTCCAATGTTAGGTAAATGACAATTGGAGGAATAGGCTACGTGCAACATTGGCGGCGAGGCCACTCGAGGTATATTGCGAACAAGTCAGGATGTGCATCCAGATAGCAGTAAAATGCATGAATCGTGAGCGACAAGAAAGACCCACTATACAGTCCATTGTCTCTGATCTGATAGAGACAGAAATAATGATAGGCAACCTAGGGCTGGAGACAGAACAGGTGAGATCCCTTCTGACCTAATTGGCATTTCCTTTTTTATCAGAAAGTATCTTATTCTTTTGTTTTTCTGGGAAGAAATTATCTTATTCGTAGTACAATATCTGGTATAGTTGTCCACCGGCGACTTCAGTGCTCACTAAGGATAACGGTATTTAGAGTGTCCAGAATAAAGTTCTTGTCGAAACAGGTAGATAGGCAAGTGTATAGACTCGCCATTTCCTACTTTATAGAAACTTACAGAAAAAACTATACATAGAAGCATGTCATAGCTAGACTCACATTTGTAACATCTCACTTACGTTTCCGTTCTCACTTTTTGAAAAATATCAACGTGGAAGTTCTACTCAAATCATACTTCCTCCGTCTCGGTTTATAAGGCATGTGCGTCACTCTAGGTTGACAATTTAACTAGCTAAATATGTATTATATTTGATAAAAAATATATGTTTGGAAATTAGATCCGCTTAAGAATTCAATGATATACTTTTGGTGACATATAACTCATATTTAGTTAGTCAAATCGATAACATAGAACTACGCGCACGTCCTATAAGCCTAGACGGAGGGAGTACTGATGATCATAAAGTACTAAACTAGCTGTGCGGTAGCCGCGTCACGCCGCGCCCGTGTGAAACTCGTGCTGACTGAGTTATAGCTTAATGTGTTCTGCTCAGAACTCTAGATTGTGCAATTCTTGGGCATTCACATTAAGCTATAATTCATGCTGCTAAACTACCGAGCAAATCATTTGTCATCAGTTAGCTATTGGAAAGCAATATAATTGTCTAAAAAGGGAGGAAGTTTAAATGACATCATTATTCAGTTGTCTTTGTGCATATTCAAACTTCATGTTATCCTCTACAGTTTTGTGGCTCGAAATTTAAACTGCCAAAGCATCTTACATTTATGAACAGAGCGAGTATTATATATTCACATATATCTGGTGTGTTGATGGAGGTGATGGACTTGGGAACTAAATCTTCCAATTCAACTGAATGCAAAATGAAATGAGCCATTAGTCATGCAAGAGAAGGTCAAAATAAGTATCCAACGACTTGAGCTGACTGCTCTATTAAAAGTACACTGGAAAAACATATGAGTATTAACGTCCAACATATATTTGACATGCAGGTCGTACCTATGTACACCCTTCACTTTGTTATACTATTACCTCTTTATTTTTGCTTCTTCACGTTTACACCCATCCAGTACTCCTAATCACTCTTTAACACATGCAACAGGAATGGCCTTCCATCACCAAACTGCAGGCTTTATAAAATCATCGCCAACTGGAATAATGCATCTGCACACCTTCATCGATCATGTTTTTTGGCCGGAAGAGCTAGAGCTAACTATCGACATTTTGGGCTATGCGGACATGTACTTCGAGAAATGGTTTATGAATGTTTGTTAAAATCTTATATTATGGGACGGAGGGAGTATTATTTATCCATACACCTTGAACCTTGAGCTTGGATAAGAAGATAAAGGTTTTTAATTTGATTGAGCATCAGAGAAATATTTTCCAATTTCTCCTCACTGATATTAATTTAGCCTCACTATCCGTCTATAAAACTCTTCAAGAGGCGAGAGAATGGGGAGAGGGTGGTCTGTGGCTGCAACTTATTCAGGCTCAGCTGGTTCTCAGTTCTGGAAATCTATCCAGAAGATTAAGGATGAGATACGTCTTGGCGCCACCTTCTCAGTTGGCAATGGGAAAGGCACTCAGTTTTGGCTCGACCCCTGGCTGGGTGAGGAGCCGCTGCGCATAGGTTTCCCTGGGCCTTTTGCTATCTGTATGGATCCGACAATTCTGGTTTCCGCGGCCTGTTTGGATGGGCAGTGGGACATCGCGTTTTGCTGTTCATTCGGTCAGGATGAGGTTCTGGAATGGGAAAGGTTGAGGACGTTCCATGTAACACCCCCAGTGGTTAGCTACAATGACTACATGTTAAACAAGCCATGTCATCATATTTTTACTAAACCAAAATGTTGCTTGTCTCAAATCAAACTCTAATTCAAATTCAAATTTAAAATAAGGTCAAACTAAAAATTATCCAAAGAGCAAAACAAAAGTGTTCATAATATTGCAAATAATCCCAAAGAAATTATAAAAATAAAACCAACATTATTTGAATTCCCAAATTGACCCCAACATAAAAAAACTGTACCCAAAACAGCATTATTAAATCCAATTTTATTTTGGAAAATTCAAACAACTTCAAATAACTTCCAAACTTTTGTGAAGTGCATAAAAATGCAATGCTAACCATCAGGTAAGATACACTTTTTTACAGAACTCATTTAGTGACATTAGTGCAAAGCAGAAGAGAAGAAACAAATTAGAAAAGAAAAAGATAAAAGAAAAAGGGGACTGTGCCTCTGGGCTTCTAGTCGCTACAGGGAGGCCCAGCCCACCTAACCCCCCTCCTTCAACCTCCTGCGGCAGGTGCAGGCACCCGATGTGCCATGGCGCACGCGTTGGAT